GAAAAGGAGCCTGTGGAGTCGAGGGAGAGGAGACCACAGGTGTAAAGCAGTGGGAACAGCCTCTGGAAGACGGGATGGACGTGGCCGCCTGCTGTAATGTGCAACACGAGAGAATTTTCCCTGTGGAATCTGTGCGGGTCGGCCATCTCTAGTCACTCAGGGAGAGCAGGGCATGGGAGCACGACCCAGCAGAGAAGCGATTCCCCCAACTTTCACTTCCAAGTGGATAGATGCGAAGAGCCGAGAGGTCATAGTTCCCCCTTGCTGCAGAACCAAACTTACTAGACCTGCATTTGACATGCTACTGTGTGCCTCCAGCTGACTAAGTCAGTACAAGTCTTTGTCTTTGACTTTGCTCCCTAATATCACATCCCAAACCTGGATAATCCCCGGTTCTCTGAAGCCCTCATTGGAATGGGCAGCCCTTGGAATGCTGCAGTCTCAGATTTCCCGGTGCTGGGTTGACACCGCTCATGGAGTGACTGCTTGTGGACCTCACTGTGACCAGAGGGACACTCGGCAGGCACTCAGCTGCATTCCTTTGCCATTCCCTGCCCCTTCCCGAGGTGCCCTGTTTCCCTTCACTGGCTGTCAGGACCTAGCCCAAATGTCGGTCCCCATCTGAGCTTCCCCTCCAGCCCTCCTCCTCGGCCGCCTTTGTCCTTCTGCTTTAGGGCTTCAGCTGGCCACAGTGCGTGAGTGCTCATCAGAAGGCAAGGGACCTCATTTTGTTTCCTCCAAGGCACCCAGCTCTAGCACTGTGACTGTGTATAGCAGAATGTTCTAGAAGTCATTATTAAATAAGTGAGCAAAAATTTTTTCTTAAGAGGAAACTACTATTTTATTTCATTTTTATTATGTACCAGGTACAAATTAAGACTTCTTGTTTTTTTTAATGTCAGTAATTCCAATTTTATAGGTATCTTAGCCTCATTCTGTAAATGAAGAAAACGAGATGTAAAGAAGTTAAATAACTCCCCGAGACCAGTACAGTTCGCAAGTGGCAAAGCTTCAATTGGAACCCAGGCTTTCCCGACTTGGGTGCTGTGTGCTTTGTTACCATTCTGCCGCTTAGTAATTACCCCTTACTTGCCGTAATAAATGCAGGTCTTCTGAAATGACACGTTCTCAAAGAGTGGAAAGCCCTCATCATGGGATACCGGGAGACACGGAGAGCGCTCCACAGGTCTCTCATGTTAGAGAAGGCAGCACCCGGGTGGGGCATGTGGCCAAATCGGTGACGCTCGGCAGCACTCCTCCCACACCACACTCAGCACAGGCAGCCATGGATGCCATTTATTGCTCTGGACATTGGGGCTTCACCTGCAATTTGTCACCAAAACCCTCTGAGGGATTCTGTTAGAGTTGCAGCCTGTGGGGATTTTTCTGTTAGCACAGCAGCTCTGCAAAATGTAATAGAATGCCGCAGTTGCAACTAAATTCTGCTGTGGTAAATAGTGTCTTCTGGCAGTAGGTTTTAATATCTGAGGTGGTTGTTGAGGCAGTATATTCTGTGAGTGCATGGAAAAGCAGTCATTTAAAATGTCTCTTCTTTTTATGGGTCAGTTTTTCTTGTTCTTTCTCACTCCCTTGCCGATTGTTGAGTTTGAAGTTTGTTGGGAAGGACCTCCCTTTGTTTTGATTTATGCCGGTACTTTGCTCTGAGGCATGCCACTGGAGGCGTTTCCCACACCGAGGATGTTGTTGGAGCGGTAGCTGATGCCTGGCCTGGAGGCTGGTTCCACGCCGAGCTTCTGCAGCCCTCCATTCTCAGCTGGTCGCTGCTAAATGTCGTTTGGTGTTGCTTCCTCTGGCACAGGTCTCCCCTCCTAGCGGTGCTCTGAACAGACCAACAGGACAGATATGTTGCCCGTCCGGGACATGTTGTCATTGTGGGGCTGCCAGTAAGTCATTCTTTCTGGAAGATGCAAGCCGGGCAGCGGCGTGTGTGTTGTTGCACAGCAGCGCTTTCTTCAGACGGGTTGACTTGGCCAGGTCCCCTCCAAACAGCTCTGGCTGCGGTGGCTCTGTCCTCTCCTGCCACGCCAGACCATGGCGACGGGCCGCGGCTGCACGCTCTGTCAGGCCGGCACGGTGCCGGGACGGGCTCTGCTCAGGCTCTGATTCACACCTGCCCCAGCACCTTCCTGCCTCTCCGTTCAAAGGAGCACGGACTGTCAGGTTTATTAGAAACACCTCAAGTTTTTAAAAGGCTTTTATCCTGTTGGTGTAACTTGAGGACACCATGATATCCTGAGAAACCGGGGGCTCTGGCCATCTGAAAACCATTCTGGTCCCGTCCATCCTGTTAGCGAGCGGCATCTCTAGTTCTCAGTGTTCTGACGTAGGATAATAACATTCTCCCTTTCTTGTGTTGGAGATGACAAGTGAAGCTGTCTGCGAAAGTGCTTCTGAAGTGGAAACTGCAATATAAATGTAGACCTTTATAATATTAATTGTAGAATGCTTTGTGATTTACAGAGTACTTTCCCATATGGCTTCACATTTGCTTTCACTAATAACCCTAGGACTAGTCAAAGCTGGCGTGATGCATAAAACATCACTGTGTTATTGATAAGGACCCAGATGCTCAGCGTGCGGCTGCCCAGGCTTACAGCTTAATTTATAGCAGAGCGAATGGAAACCTGGCTCTTCTGAGCGCAAACCCTGTCTTCTTTTCACCAGTCCATGCTGCCTGCTGTATACATGTGAACTGATGTTGCTACATGGCATCATTTTAATGGACGCTGTTCCACAGCTCACAGGAGAAGCAGCTTTCCTTTGGGGACATTACAGACCTTCCAGTACCTGGCAGAACGGTGTGATGCCCTTGTGAAGCTGTGTGACATGGCGTTTGCGTTGACTCGGTCCTGCACTATTTACTAAAGTCTTCCCATTTGCAGGGAACTGTAAGGTCCCACAAAGAAATGAAAGAGGACTCAGACACAGTGTCTGTCCTCCAACGTGTAGAATGCCCCTCCTCTTCCCCTCTGGGAGGAAGGTTTCCAGGTCATTAGGTTGCTTCCTTCAACATTCAGCCTTCCTGCCCTGGTCCTCTGTGAGGGTCACCCTGTGCATGTGCTCACACTTGCTCGTGGGCTCGGTGCCGTCCCTCTCTTGCTGTGTGCACCCCCAGGGTGCAACCTGCCCCTCAGCTCTGCCTGGCAGCAGGTCTGGGCCTCTCCCTCCACTCAGCCACCACCTGAGCCGGGAGCCTGGTGACATCCAGCCGCCTACTCGGGTCCCCAACTGGGGGATATGTTTCCCTGCAGAGTAGGAAATGGAAAAGCCTTTTTTGCAAGCTGCTTGTTATCTTCTCTTGTTTTCAGCCGTTTTCTGTGTTTCAGAGTCTTTCCTCTTTTAGTTTTCCTTCACTTGTTCATAGTCTTCTCTTCTCTTTCCCTTGCTTAGGCCCCTGGAGTTGTTTCTCTTTCCTGCCTCTTCAGGGGGTGCTTGAGAATGTGGAAAGCAGTGAAGGTACAGCAGAAGCAGGGGCCAGAGTGGGCCCTGCTTTTATGACTAAACACTGAATTCACTTTCAACCCCGCAATGTTAGGCTTATAATTGACCCGTCAAGCATGCAGGGCACCAGGTTCAGAGCGAAAAAAGGCACAAGCCCCGGTGTTTGCTCTTCAAACCGAATGACCCAGAAAGACACGTCATTGTAAGAGCACTAGATTGAGACTCTGTTTTCTTTTAATTTATTGTACAAACCATATTGTACTAGTAAACAATGAGAAGGAAGAAATGAAAGAAAAACCACCCATAATTCCACCCACTAAGAAGTCAGCTGTTTTTGGTTCTCCACATTCCTTTAGACTCTTTTTCCACATATGCACATAACATTACTTAGTTGGAATTATATATATTTTGCATTTTATTTTTAAATTTTAAGATTATCATTTTATATTGTTACCTGCATTTTATTTTCAAATTTAATATTCCATCCCATTTATACACAATATTACTTAAAGCATTTCCCTGTTCTTATAAAATTAAAGTGTTTGCAGGCTTTTTTTTTTTTTCCTGTACATCTTTCCAATGCGTCATAGAACTTTTCCTTAGTTTGGATTATTTCTTGGTATATCTTTCCAGGAATGGGATCAGTAAGTCAAAGTGTATAGCTTGTGATATCAGTTGCCAAACTTCTTTAACAAAAAGTTGCTCTAATTTACACTGTCCCAATCACACATCTATGAAAGTATCATTTTCAACACAACTTTATTTATTTTCAGAGGCAGATATTCTGTGGGTCCAGTAAATCACTGTGAGAAAGGATTAGTATTACAAGTCAGCTTATGAAGACGGCATCATCTGCCACCAGAGTGATGGGAGGTCCACAGTGACATCTGGACCAAATCTGGTGGACTCGAGTGCTGAGTTATTGATTACAAAGTAAAGCGGTGATCTGTCTGGTAAGCCGTGACAAAAAGTTCTTTTGGACAGCATCACTCTAAGTTATTAATCACACATTATTAAGAAATTCTAAATTGTATATATCAATTTCGTGTTATTTCCAAATTCGCTTATAATCATTTTTAATACAGTGGAAAACCATTAAAAACTTGAGTATACAAACAGGTCTAGGACAAAAACGTTTTTCTGACATTCTTGCAAAGACATAATTTGTTTTACTGTTTGTTCTTGTATTCAGAGTGAGGAGGCGGCCTGGAGAAGTGTGTGTGCGGCTGATGTAAAAGTAACCTCACCTGACTGACTGACTAACTACCAGTAAGGACTCCGTCCCCTAACCATTCAGGCCACATTACACGTCCCTGTAGAGTAGGTCAGGCAGGATTGAGGACAGGGCTTGTCCATAGGCTCCACAGGTATCGTGACAGCACCGGAAGGCTCCAGGTCCGTTTCTGATCTTGTCAGAGCTCACAACGTCATATAGTGGCCCTTGTCCCATTACTTTGCTGTCCTTAAGGAGAAGAATTTATTGAAGGGACTCGAGTTACATGGAGCCTTTACAGTATGACTCTGATGCTTCTCCACAGTCAGACACCCGAACAGCAGCCTGCTCTGCCTCCACATCGCGAGTCTGTCTGGCCATCGGCGGAGCGAGATGCCCCTGGGAGGTAACCATCCCTTTCTTCTCTGGACTCAACAGGCTTTCTCTCCATTACCTTCTCAGATCCTAGTGCCCTGAAAGTTGGGAAACTTAGAGTCCTTTCATTTTTACTTAACTTTCTGACTAGGTAAATTATGAAAAGCCATTTTTTTTTTTCCTTGCCATTTGAAAATTGAGATAAAATTCACACAACATAAATTCACTATTTGAACCATTTTAAAATGTAAACTTTAGTGTTTTTTATTATCACAGTGTTGTGCAACCATCACCACTATCTAATTCCACAATATTTTCGTCACCCCAAAAGAAACCACGTACCCATTGGCAGTCACTCCCCATTTTCCACCTCTCTCACCTCTGACAACTGCCGATCTACTATCTGTCTCTATGAATTTGCCTATTCTGGACATTTCATATCCATGGAATCAGACAGAGCCTTTTGTGTCTGCCTTCTTTCACTCAGCATAATATTTTCCAGGCTCACTCGTGCTGTTGCTTGTATCGGCGCTTCGTTGCCTTTTATGTCTGGGTAGTGTTCCACTGTGCGGCTACATCACATTTGTTTATCCATTCATCTGTTGATGGACACTTGAGTTGTTTCCACCTTTTGGCGAGAATGAATAGTGCTGCTGTCAGTATTCACATAGACATTTATGTGTCGACAGCTGTTTTCAGTTCTCTTGGGTATACCTAGGAATGGAATTTCTGGGTCACATGGTAACTCTATGTTTAACTTTTTGAGGGACTCCAAACTGTTTTCCACAGTGGTTACACCATTTTGCATGCCCACCAGCAAAGCATAAGGGTTCCATTTTCTCCATATCCTTTATATCACTTATTATCCATCTGTTCAAATCCTTTGCTTATTTTTTAATTGTGTTGTTTGTCTTTTTCCTTTGTTGAGTCATAAGAGCTTTTTATATATCCTAGATACTAGACCCATATCAGATAAATGATTTGCAAATCATAGTTGCAAATATTTTCTCCCATTCTGTGAGTTGTCTTTTCACTTTCTTGATAGTGTCCTTAGTTGTAGGAAAAGTTTTCATTTTGATGAAATTCATTTTATCTATTTTTTTCTTATTGCTTATACTTTTGATGTCGTATTTAAGAAACTATTGCCTAATCCAAGATCATAAAAATTTATACACCTATATTTCCTTCTAAGACTTTATAGTTCTAGCTATTACATTTAGGTCTTTGATCCATTTTTGCGTTAATTTTTGTGAATGGCATGATGAAGTCTTAAGAGAACCATACCTTGGACTTTGATCTTTTACCTTGAGAATGTCTCCTACAGGAATGACAGATGTGTTACTGGAATGACTTTGGAATTGTGTAAAGCAAAGGTGAATCCTGGAGGTTGAAGAGCTCTTTGCTTAGTGTGGTTCTGTGTAAGGCAACATTTGATAGACTGCAGCTGGGGTTCCTTTATTGTGGGGAATTTAAAACATTAATTCATTATGCCCCTTATCACACTGAGAAAAGACAAAACCTGAGACCACTGGTACCTCCTCCATAAATGTTTGCAGTTTTAATTATGATGAGTATATAATAACTCTAAAAAATATATTTTCTTTTATGGATTAATCAAATTACCAACATAGCTTTGAAACCACACAGAATCACATTTTTTCTGTGGCACAGGATATCAGGGCCAGCCACTTCTCGGCTTCTTATATTGGGAACAGCTATTAGGATCCTGTTTTTAATGGCAGGTGAAAATTGGTGTCAGAGAGAAAATCACCCTTCTTTAGGTGGATTTTTTGGATTCTTCCTAAGGGAACCAGAGACCCAGACCCAAGAAAGAGGAAAATCGCAGGACTTTGTCTGCTGGGTGCCTCTTGGGAGTCGTGATTTACCCACCTTGTTCAAAAGTAGCAGTTTAAAAAGTGCAAAGAGGGGCCAGCTGGTGGCGTAGTGGTTAAGTTCACGTGCTCCACTTTGGCAGCCTGGGGTTCACAGGTTCAGATCCTGGGCGCAGACCAATACACCACTCATCAAGCCATGCTGTGGCAGCATCCCACATATAAAGTAGAGAAAGATGGGCACAGATGTTAGCTCAGGGCCAATCTTCCTCACCAAAAAATAAATAAATAAATAAAGTGCAAAGAAATCTTTTTAGTGTTTTTCCTTCTTCTCTTTTAATGTTATGGTGTTTTTTCTTCATCGCATACTGTAAACAACGATAAAAGAATGTTCACTCAGGATTAGGATGGTAAAATCGCAGGACTGGAGGGAGGACAAAAGCACTAACTGAACCTGAAATGCGTGCGACCCACAAGGCAGATGAACACGCTGCTCTTTGTTGGCCTAAGGAAGAACCAAACTGGTGTGCCGACTTCAGATCGGCCACTGTCAAAAGCTTGGACCATATTCTTGTTCTTTAGTGCAAAAACAAGCCTTACGCTGGCACCTGCCGCATCACGGGAGAAGGAGTGCCATGAGTTCGTGCACAGGTTCAGTGACAGGCTGTGACACACTCCATCGCGCTACCCCACCTCCGCACAGATCACAACCTGAACGACCTCGTCAGACTAGGCATAGCAGGCAGAACTCTTGTTTGCATGGGTGTGTTGTGGTAAACTCGCTTTCCATGCACAGATATAAAATTCTTCCCCTAAAAATACCAAAATTATCCACAAAAGTAAGTGACGATAAATCACAGGACACCATTGCGGTCCTCAAGGCATGTGATGTCTCGTTGAGGCACCTGTCCAGGTAAACAGGCACTTTTGTGTCCCGTGATGAGTGGGACCTGCATGGCTTTCTGGCAGCGCTGACGAGCGAGACCTGGGGTCAATGAGGGACACCTTGGAGGGGCAGCATCTCTATCTACACGTTCCTCTTCAATGCTCGTGCACACTTGGCTAATAGGAGCAGGGGGTAAAACTCAGATGCCGTTGGGGTTTTCCTGTGTAAACAAAGAAATGTGAAATTCTGTGTGCTCAGAGACTGCCCCTTCCTGACAGTGGGGTTCACCTGCTTCTGGGGGCTGCAGGAGCAGGTTTGGAGAGCGTCCCAGTGGAGGATAGTGCCGTGAGGCTGTGGCCTAATGTCTAAACCGTGAACCAGGAGCATGAGTAGATAAAATCAGCAAGAGTGACAAAATGAACACCCTCGCGGCCTGTTTCCAAGCTTCCTGCATCAGTTAGTAGTACAAGGACAAACTGTGTATCAAGCATGTTGAGGAACACGATTTACATTTAAAAGGTAATTGGAAAATCAGTGGGAATTCGCTTGTTTGCTACCAGATGGCCCAGAGGTCGCTCAGTTTCTTGACAGTGCGCTTCCTCAGCCCCACCCCATGGGGACTTTTTTCTGGTGATTCTAATGCTATAAGAACCTGGAAAAGCTGATGGACTATCTGGACGTCATTTCCTCTACTTGACTGATAGTGCTGCGGTTCTCGTCTGCTAACCTGCTCTCTTGTGGAAGTTTCTCGTGCCTCTGGCTTGGTTTCCCCCACCGGGTCCTCAGGACCAGCAATGTTATCTTCATGTCCATCTGCTTCTGTTAAGTTAATGGGCACAGAGTCACGGTTCCTCAAGCAGCTAAAGGATCTGGTACTTATCAATCTACTTCACAAGAAATTTAAATCATGTTGGTGCTATTAATGTTTGGAAACATATTTTGGGGGCGTTATTTTCCTTAAGTGTGCTCGGAGACACGAGTGAAGAAAAGCATACAGGGGGAACTTAGATGTTAGAAGGGAGGAGGATGTGTACAAAATCAGTTTAACTTTAACTGTGAGACATGAAAACCACTAAGATTGAAATCCTAAGGAAGACAACTGCGTAGATTGTGGTTTCTAGCCAGGGTCCTGCACTTGTGCAGCCCAGCACCCAGCCGTTTAGACCAGCTGGCACGTCAGCCGTGAAGAAAGAGACTCGGGACATGGTGTACCTGGAAGGCTCTTAGCAAAGGTGGATGACAGCATGTTGGACCAGAACTGTTGTCTGAGATATTCACACTTTTCATTCCCTTGCTCTTTCTGCTGCTTCTCTGTTGTCTTTATTTTACACGTTAGAAAGGAACATGCAAACGCTTCCTGTCAGTTGGCTCCTGAGCTCATCGCTGCATCCCTTGCTCTGCCCCCTGCTCCCACCTCACTTGCACAGCTAGGTGACTCTCTTTTTATAAGCTTTCGTCTTGCCATTCTTTTCTTTTCTTCTTGCTCTCCCCGATTGAGTTTGAGATGATGCATTGAACACGTTCTCTTAGTTGTCAAGAGGAATACAGTTGTACGTTATTTTGAGTTTGAGTTCTGTTGCCTTAGCCCATGTGGGAATGCTGTGGCACATGGGTCCAGAGGAGGCGCTCTTGCTCAGCCACGCAACTGGCTAGGTAATTTCAGACCCTCTGAACCTCTGCTTTCTCCTCTGTGAAATAGCAGTAAGAAGAGCAAATGTGGGCCGGCCCGGTGGCACAGTGGTTAAGTGTGCACGTTGCTCTTCGGCAGCCCGGGGTTCACTGGTTTGGATCCCGGCTGTGGACATGGCACCACTTGGCAAGCCATGCTGTGGCAGGTGTCCCACATATGAAGTAGAGGAAGATGGGCATGGATGTTAGCTCAGGGCCAGTCTTCCTCAGCGAAAAGAGGAGGATTGGCAGCAGTTAGCTCAGGGCTAATCTTCCTCAAAAAAAGAAAAGAACAGCAAATGTATAAACTGTCTGGCTACAGGACATACTTAATAATGATGCTGTCCCAGTCTTAATCTTCCTTGAATCCTTAGGAGACACTGCTGGGTAGACTGAGTGAGGAGGAGCAGAGAGAACCTAGGCAATGGAGGGGTGCGTGTTTCCACTTATCTTCAGTTGCCTTGTCTCAGGGTCAGCTCATGGCTTCCACCCTGAACAGCAAACCCTTTTCCTGGTCTCCTGTTGTGCCCTTCCTCCTGGAAGTGATTTAGGAATTAAACCTGCTGCTGCTGAGAAGTAACTGAGTCAAAGAATGCAAATTTCTTAATAGGAAGAACTTTCCAGGTTCAAAACACATGGAAGTTA